TATGTTTTTGTTAACAAATTACACTTACCATGTTGAGACAATAAGAGTATATATATGTATGTATTTAAATTCAAAACAAGAGACTAAATAAATGAATGGTAAATATAAAGCAAGCAAAAAGCTAATAACACCACCAGGGACAAAAAGATGATACGTGGAAATTACATTTGCCAATACCAATTAAGGGACAAGATAAAGTTAAACAGTGTAAAAATAACATGTCAAGACTAATTAAAGAAAAAGGACAAAAAAAGACAACGATGTTAAGTAATTACAAACTAAGAGACAAGATCAAGATGATCAGTTTAAAAATAACACGTTGGCACTGATTAAGAAAACAAAAACGATAATAAATTTAATAGTATATATATACACAAAATATGGAAAATGATAAAGATAAAATCATTTTAATAGTATATATTATCACAAAATAAAAAATGAAGATAAACAGAAAACAGAAATAAATGTAAATACGAATAACGAACAAGGTATGCATGCGTAAATTTTCGTTCCATTAATACGTTAACGAAAAACCTTCTTTTGGCCAAGTCAGCCTCACTATTGGGCTGTCTGCGTGCCCAAATGTAACGCTAATATAGCGGGAGTTTGTTCCCTTGGCCTCGAAAACCTGGATAAGCCTGTAATCCCCCTGGTCTGTAGATCTTAATAACTGGCTATTGTTTTACAATCTAGACGGCTTCGTTAACTTGTCTCACTCATGTTTGTTTTAACACGTGGTTTCTCTTTATTGACATGATCCGTTGTGAGGCTTTTGTGTATTTTACTTTCTGTTATTTTTCTTTCTAACAAGTTTCTGTTGTTGCTAATTAAATCCGTTTCCTTCCAATGCGTATTCAAACGTGTTCTGAATTTCCGTCCCGTTTCCTCATGTACATTGCATATCGATTCACACTTCTGATAGCTAAGTTTGTACATAAATTGTACAGTTAAACATATTGCTGGTGGGATATTTATTTTATTGATATACATGTAGAGAGACGCTTCTGGTGGTTTGGAGAGGTTTAATGCTGGTCGAAAGATCTTTTCACGTAAGGTATTACTACATTTCCCTCCGTCTTCCTCTGTGTCTGCTGGTTCTTCTCCATCAATGTTAGTTTGCTCTTACTGTTATCCTTTTATGCCTTGATACGACTGTGCAGGTGTCCATACTTTTCAAGCTCAAATATAATAAGCACTACTCTTCCTTATCTTTTCGGATATGATGACTTTGTCATATCTATTATTGATGTCCCTATTTCTTTAAACTGTTGATGAAAAGTGTTGTAGGCATCCCGACTTATCCAAGTCTGTGACGCCTTCTTAACCACGGGGTATTTTCTGGTGCACTAGCGTCATTAGTGACTAAGTTGACTGTTTGGTTAGCAAAACTGTCGGAGTAACAGTTATCCTACTAACGTTCACATATATATGTGTTTTTGCTAACCGGTTATCTCTCGAGTATTGATGGTTCGAGCAAAATCTTAAATCGTAATTAATTTTGTCCTATGTTATGATCTGATTATCTTGTATATTTATTCTATGTATTGCTAATTCTTATTATTATGTAACCATTTACATTTACAAAATTTTCCAACAAAATATGTATACAATTAAGTTAATCATGGTGTGCTAAATGAGGTGATTCATATGAAAACGATGATTAATACATGTAAACACTAAACAAGGACCAGATGCATGTTCATTCGATCGATGCTAAGCCTCAGTTTTTACACCGTGGTCACTACTGACGCGAGTTCAGTGGGAGTATTTCCTTGCTGAACATAGCATCATAGCCTTTGTTATACGTATACAAAGAACCTATTTGTTTTTAATCAGGGTAGCTTCCTTGCCTTATCCCAATCCCTACTTGTTTTCTCACATGGTCCTTGTTATTGATTATCGTAAGTGTTTGTGCATTTCAATTTCTGGTATTCGTCTTACTAATGGATTCTGTTTCATTCAAAGGCGTTATGGGTTTCGGTCCCTTTTCTTTTATGTAAACCAATTCACAATTCTTACAGATAAGCTTGTACACACATTGCACGTATCGCTGGTGATAAACTTGTTTGTTTTTGTATGAAGCGATCTGATGCTGGTCGAAGTTCCCTCATAAATATCTAGCATTCCTTTCTCAACGTGTTAGTACAATTTCCTGTGACTACTTATGTGTCTGTGTACCTTCTCTCTTTCAACGCTTTTTATCGTTGATGAGATGAACTTTCACACATAGGGATGTTTTCTTCTGAATAATATTCTTTGGTGATTAGCTGAAACCGATGAGTGTAAGGTGTAAACATAAGCACACACTGACGGACAACATAAAGATGATAAGTGTTAAATGATTGTAAGCACAGACAATCGTATTATATGAAAATGCTAAATATAAGTACTCGTAAATAAAACAAAAAAACGAGATCAGTACCGTAAATGTAAATACTACATTTGAACACAAAACAAGTAATACTTCAGATAAAGTGGTTAGTGGAAATACCATATGTCATACAAAATATTTTAACATGTAAACATACATTGACAAAGTTACGATGGTAAGTATTCATGATACATGTAAATGTTAAATAAGGGACAAAATGAAGATGACTAAGCTTAAAGATTAGTGAGTAATATCACAACATAACTTGACAACTCGGCCTAACTCAAACACATCATCAGTGTTGTTACTATGTTAGTGAGTCTGAAACAGTATCAGATAACGAAAACATATCCCATACACACAGGTACTGTAATACACCATATATCATTTGGTCTAAGATATTATCACGATTTTTTGAATTCTCGATAAGAGAGATTTGTTACAATATATTGCTTATGATTTAATTTTGCGGATAAGTCTACTGACAAATAAATCCAAAATTAATTCCTCACAAAAACAAAGTAACATGTACAGTGCTGGTTGATTGAGGGATGGTATATCAATAACCGATAGAAAAGCTACATATTTGGGAAAGTTATGTTATTTACTGCATGTAATATGAATTTTTTAAAATATTTGATAGAGTTTTGGATCTCTGTTGTATATGAGATAGGACTATGATTAGTTGTTGAATTATTTTGTCTAAGCAAGTCATAGTCTTGTCTCGATAGAAGTTGGTTCGTTTTGTCTGTGTTTTACGTCCTATTTGCAGCGATGGTCATTTAAGAACGAGCCAGGTTTTGGTGGTGAAGGAAAACCGGAGTACCCGGTGAAAAATCATCGACCTGCGGGTATTTTAATGTCATTGTAAAAACCCAGTTTAACTGAATCTCGTTGACTAATTTCAATACCATACCTTAAGTTAATTCAAATTTTACCGTACCTGCATTTTTGTTCACTTCTATCAAGTTCTATTAAATGAAAAACGAACTGCAAACGGACGTTATACATTTGACACATGTATTAGCATTGCTATCCTTCTGAAATGTAAAATGTAAAAACATAAGTAGTGTTCAGTTCAGCTCTTGTAAGTATCTTGTCAGGTGACGTCACTCTGTGACATTTTTAAGGCTATATGGGTATTGTTTACATTCGTCACATGACATCCGCTAACCTTCTTAACCACCAAAGTTGATTTTTTAGTAGGTTTCGATCGTAGTCGAACATCAGTGAACAATATATATTTCTACAATATCAGGGTATTGTCAAACAGTTAAACTAGCTAGCAACGATGTTAACTAAAATACTTTGGAAATAAGATGTCATTCCAAGGCCCTAGTTTTGTCAAGTTTTGTTTTCTAAAAATGAAAAGTAAAAAGAATAACCAAATAACTTAATTTCACATCACGTGACTTGGTTTTAATGTGTTACTATATCAGGACATTGACATTTATTGTTACTAAATGAAAAAGATAATTAAGCATACTATTTTGGAAACTATACCTTATCATATGTATCCCCCTTGCAACATTAGGGATTGTCTCTGGTGCCTTTTATAGAGAACACTACACAACATTGATGGGTTTGTGAGGTCTTACTTAGTCTGACCTCTTCCTAATGCCTTTCTTGGCATTTACTCGCTATTGATGTTGTATTTGGGCAATAACCCAAGCGAGAAAGGTGTGTAGATCTGTCCCCGGGCCTACTTGTAAATTATTGGTAATAACTGCCCTCCTGTTTGACGTTTTCCTTATATGGGTGGCGGTAAGTATTTGTAAATCCGTTTTGAGTATATTATAATCGGGTGGAGACTCATACTTACATGTCCTGATTATGACATTTCAATAAGATAACAAACTAAAGTGTCCGTTGAGAAGTACATCTCAATAAACACCGTCTTTATATGTCCATTGCTGTTGCAAGGACGTAACAACCCCAAACTAACGGACACTCCACATTGATATGATAATTATGGTAATTCGACACATATATCCAGAATGATAGCAATGATCGCACTATCGATCAGAATGTTGGCTTTGATACATACTGTACTGTTACGATATGAGTCGTGTATGGGTTGAACTGGAAATACCCCCAGAGCTCCCGCTGGTCCTATTAAACAGGTCTCTAGCCGTTCCGTATTATTACACATGGAACGTGTAGAACGAGCTGGTATCTCTTCTGTCCTATCGTATACTCTGTTGAATGTCATTAGACGTTATCTGGATATCTCTAACATAATTTGTGACCTTCCAAAGGGATTACGTACATATTGTTCTAGCTCATTAACTAGATAACAAAGGTTATCTATACAGTAAGGTCCTTAGTCACCCCTTCAATTGTACATGTTCGCTAAAATTAAATAGTGGTAAAGTCTTTTTCTAACTACCTTGATAAACTTTCTAGAATTTATTTGGAGACATGGAAGTCCTTATGTACAGCAAACTTGTAAACTAGTATCTATATTCTACTCGGCTTAAATGAGTACCAACAATACCAGATCAAGACATATTTGAAAAGGTCATGGAGAGAAAACTGTTGACTGGAAATTCACAAACGTAACACAGCTAGAATGCCTATCAAATCCATTTTCTGTCACTGTTCATTTGCAGACTTCGGTTTTGTGTGTGGTGGGCGGTCGCCATGCTGCTCAGGCTAACAGGCTGGTGACGCTGTACTTTGGTTTCGTCCTTCTATGGATATTCTTTAAGGATCGATGCCTAGTGTGGTGTATTGGACTGGTTTGGCATAAACATTCTCATGCATTTGTTTGCCTGGCTCGCTGGGAGGATTCAGACATCATCATGAGGTATGAAAACGAACATTCTAACAGCACACAGGAGGTCATGTGGGAAATGTCCTAATCCAGCGCTTTGCATGAAGGTAAGTAGCTGTGCACTAATAACACCTAAAACGTCACTGACAAGATGCAACCGTCACTAGCACTCGCAGTATTTATAGGGATAGTTGTATGCATCATTCTCTGTGAATGGACTATGGGAGTTCCAATAGATATCTTTCATGGTTTCTTTCATTGATTTCACTGATCAATACACATTTATAGTCGATACACTGGTGCTATTACACAGAGAGCAGTGGTGTGGAGACCTGGTGGTTTATATCGTTATCACCACTGGGGCGACGTGTAAACCCGTACTTCTGTCGGTGTTGTATCTACGTAACGGTGTTGTAATGTTGTACCCCCTATCCTTGTGTGGGTATGGTATTGTAATGTATATTTCTAAGGGTGATGCATTTCTGTACGGGTGCTGTATTGTAATGTTGTACCCCCTGTCCTTGTGTGGGTATGGTATTGTAATGTGTATTTCTAAGGGTGATGCATTTCTGTAAGGGTGTCGTATTGTGGTGTTTTATCTCTGTGAGGATGTTGTATCGTGAAGTTCTATCTCTGTAAGAGTGTTGTATCGTGATGTTGTATTTCTGTAAGGGTGTCGTATCGTGATGTTGTATCTCTGTAAGGGTGGTGTATCATGAAGTTGTATCTTTGTAAGGGTGTGGTAACGTGATGTTGTATCTCTGTAAGGGCGTCGTATCGTGATGTTGTATCTCTGTAAGGGTGGTGTATCGTGAAGTTGTATACCTGTAAGGGTGTCGTATCGTGATGTTGTATCTTTGTAAGGGTGTCGTATCGTGATGTTGTATCTCTGTAAGGATGTCGTATCGTGATGTTGTATCTCTGTAAGGGTGCTGTACAGTAATGTTATTATTCAGTTCTAAATGTGTTGAATCTGTGTAGAGTTCATGTATCATGTTATTATTTCTTTGCAGTATTTTGAATCTCTATAGGGATGGTGTATGGTGCTATTTTTATCGATATGATGGTGTTGTATGGGGAATGTTGTACATGCATCTCAATATGGGTTGTGCACCGTGATGTTATAAATCAATATGGGTTGTTTGTCATGATGTTGTATCTTTACGGATGGTGTTTTGTGATGTTGTATTTCTATTTAATTGCGTGTTATTGTATTTATGTATAAAAGGTCACTATTTGTTAATGTTTCTAAAGTATGGTTGCGTATTATCATAGGGTAGTGTGTATAATGCATACAGTTGTTGTGTCTCGATAGTTGTAATACAAATATATAGGGTTGTTGTGTTAAAGTTCATGTAATGCTGTGTATCTGCTACTTATTTGATCTATATAGGGGTTACTCAATGGTTTGGCATTAATCATCATTGCCGTTAAATTGTAAATCGTCCTATTTCAATACATGTCATCTACAATATTCAACTATAAATGTATTCTTACGAATAAAGATAGCGAAGGATATCAATAGATTGTTATCGTTAATTGTACATTGCATATGACATGCGTATTAAAGTTAGGTTTTGGTTGCATAGTAGGGATATCAATTATATACTGTGACATTCGATATAATGCCACCTTTTTCATTTTATATCGCGTTTACCGCTAGTATATCCAAATTTCTCTTACCCCTTGTTGACACAATCTGTATATGTCTCGTCGATATTTAGACGTATTGCCAAACCCATCTTAATGGCAAAATTGTGTTTGACATGTGGTTGCCGTACATTGTATAACGCTGTTTTACTTTATACTGTATTTGCGCATGCTTGGTTTCAGGTATAAGCCTATTATATTCCTTAACTCCCAAGTTGGTTGTAACGTACGTGTATATCGATCCTGAATTTTCTGATGACTATCAAACAATAGCTCCAGCCAGTATGACATATATGCTATATGAATAATTTAACACGAATCCATTGTTGACGTTTTGAATGTTGTTCTAATTGAAGTAACTTAATTTTATCTCATTAGAGACAATTTTGATTGCGCAATGCTTGCCACGTCGCCCATCGATCAACTTCCGGGATACTGTTTGATATTTTCAGATATTTGCCTGAGCATGGGTCATTACAATGAAATCATCAACATTTCAAACGGATGAGACAGTCGATCTGCATGTTGCGTGGCTTATACAGCGTGAACGACAGAAACGAATAGAGAAACGAAGGGGTATCGGATCTGTGATCTTTGTCATTGGAATACCATTAGCCATCCTAGGATTTGCCATGTCGCTTGTTGCATACTCGGAAATAGTCGGAAAAGACACCATTCCATCCTTCCGGATCACTGGACCCGTGTTCATTGTGGTAGCATTCGTAATGTTTATAATCGGAGCCGTTCTAGCAGAGGTGCTGTCGATCAGACGAACCCGTAAACAACAGTATGAGGTAGAGAGTATTGAGCTTCAAACAGAATTCCTACAGGAAAAAGATAATGCTAGTAAAGAGGATAGCAGTGTTGTAGAGATTACGAGGGACAACGTCAGACGAAGTGGGGACGAGTCGTTATTTCAACAATTTAAACGAAGTTCAAGCGTCATTAGTGAATCTCTTGCGAATATGATTCCGTCTCGAAACTGTAAAATCGAGCCACATGAGTGCGAGGAGGTCTAGCAGCCTTGGTTTACAGGACAAGAACTGCCATCGTGTACTACATGAACCACGTGTGGGCGCCCATAGATATACCAGTTATGTGTGAGGGGCAAATTGAAATGAAAACAAGTTATGTGAATTGAAGGTAGTTTCACCGTACTCGTTGTGAAATAAGCTAACAATAATTTGTGTATGAGATGATATAAATGTTTGCTAGTAAGCTATGAGTGAAATGAGGATATGCTTCTGTGAGCAATGCATACGTTCTGTTAGCTTTATATACGGCTGTACTTTGTATGAGCCCATGTCGGAGTATAATGGTGAACCAAGTATAAGTTTATGCAATCAGTAATTGTTAAGTTATATGTGAGCTAGTTGAGGTCTTACAAATGTAAGCTAATATAATCCTTAATTGTTAGGTTCTGTGTGACCTGTTTTAAATCTTACTAGTATTAGCTTAATAGAGCATTTCACTCCCTTTAGAGTGACATAGAGAAATTCCATCCCACGAGGGAAGATTTTAAAGTTGCTAAACACGAGGCTTGCCCCGTTCCTAAAGGGGTAAATGTTTCTTTTTCTCTTACCCTGTTGACCCTAACAAATTATCAATTCAATGTTGACGCTGCAGGGCAATCCTTTAGTCTCATCCTGGTGTGAGATGAAAATAATCTTTCATCACCTTGGAGGTAAGACAAAAAAATATCAAACCTCGGGGTAGGATTCTTAAATGTCTTTTCCGCAACTCTACCGAGGGCCGGACATAAAGCTTTGGTCGAGACATTTAAGAATCCCCATCGGATGAATTTTTTCTGTTTAACTCTAACAGTAGGGAATGATTACCCTTTTCCAATACGAAATACCAGTGGTATTTAAGTTTAAACGCTAAAGTTGGTTTCATAATTTCATAATTTAAGATCGGAGTTGTCTTCTGCTACTGTTGTGACGTCATTGCATTGTTGATGCAATGACGTCACAACAGCAGCAGCAGAAGACAGAAGATGTAATGCAAATATTATGACAAGGGAATCCCTCTGTCTTTACCCTTGTATAAATCAGGTATATCTTTCCCTGACCGGAAGTGTGGATATCTAATGGCTTATGGGAGAGAAATCCATGCCTCACCCAAGGGTTGAGACGGAGGATTCCCACTTCATAAGTGTATGACGTCACGCAAACAATACATTGACGTCAAAAATTTATCGAACCTGTTTTGACGGCAATTTAAATAAATTTGACAGAGTCAACATGGTATGAGAAATAGAATCATTCACTCCCTTGAGGCGAGATGGAGAATCTCGACCCTCGGGTTGTGATCCCCTATATCACCCCGCTAGGAGTGAAAGATTTATTCTTCTCACATCGGGAACAATGTGGATTCACCTGTCCTTACATCCTTAACCCGAATGCTCTGTATAAGCTATTGCAAGTCTTACTAGTGAACTACGAGTGTATTACTACTTACTGTGACCTGATGTAATCAAACATGAAAATAGTTTTATTTTAAGCTCCGGTAAAGCTTTACGTACTTGTATACTGTTTATTTCAGTGTATATTAGTAAAGCTACCAGTGCTTAATTGACGTTCCTGTTAGTGTATACAGGCGAATTAAAAAATCCATGTAAGTGTTCGAAAATAAGTTTTGTGTTAGCTCTTGAAAATTTGTAAATGTTAACCACGTGTACGCCTATTTCAGAGTTGAAAAGCGAATCTCGTGTAATCCTGTTTAAGAGTGCAAAAAGTTACCTTTGTGTAAGCTGTTTCACATGTACAAAGTGGAAAATTTCTGAAACCGTGTAAGCTTAATAAGATGTTTTAAAATGAGCTTATGTCAGTCTGGATACAGCTGACAACTGTTGAGTATTTACTATGGTAAATCAATGTATATAAGCTAGGCATTGAGCTGTGCACTCGTGCAATATTGGCTATACTCTTTAATGTTAGGGTATCGAACTTTAAGTCATCTAATGTAGGGTTCGGATTTTCACTGATAGACATTTGTATACCAATGAGTAATGTGTGAGCTAATACGACGTCATAAATGATATTCCGTTTTTGCTTATTGCAGAGTTATCTTCTATTGTGAGCAGGTATTGATTGTTACGTCATTGGTTTGTGTTAGAAAATTACGTCGTTTTCTAAAAAAGTGATGACGTTACTCTCACAAATAACTGACGTTACAATCAATACCTGCTCACATAAGCAGATAACTCTGCAATACGAAAAGACGGAATAGTTATATCATTGCTCAAGTATCCAGAATGTGTTTTCGCATTGTGTCAATAAAATGTCTGTGTGCAAGTACGCTATCAATGTTGATCTGATGCAGCACTTGTCTGAATTTACATGATGAAGCCAATTTACTAACTAATCAAAGGGAGGCTCGTGATGTGATGTGCAATATCGATTGTTCAGTTGAATCTAAAAATAAAAAATTGTTGTACAACCTATTGAATTTCGTCGTGTTTTGATTATTTTATCACTTTAACTAAAGAGTTAAACATGGCCTGACATGATATCATATAACTGATTAATTAATTGATGTCTCTGATATAAACAAAAAAACAAAAAAAACACCAGTTGTCAAGGAAATACAATCTTAAAAGAATCATGTTTTTTTTAAGTTTAAATCGGTGAACGTTATCTTCATATGATGGAAATACATCAATGACCCGCCAAGAATAAATTGGATCACTTTTAAATGAACCTTATTAGAGAGGATCCTTTTGATACACATGAAAGATAAAATACATTGTCATGGTTAATCCCTGCAAAAGACATATTTTATGCGATTTACTTCATGTATAGAATTGGGGGATTCTTTAGTGATGGATAGAATTCTTGAGTGCATCGTTTAAAAGCACAGTAAGTTGCTTAAAATAATTAAATACATTAATATGTGCTTAAATTAGTTGATGCAGGCATTTCAACCTGTATGTAATTCAATATGAATTTTAACGCCTTTGTTTATCATTTACTATTATTTGTTTGGGTTTTCAATGATAGTTTAAAAATCACTAACATTTCACAAAATATTAATTGATTTATTACATCGCAAGAAAGCCGTTTTCAAATACAAATATCTTGCAAATATTAGCTTATTTAGACAAATTTAAACAAAACAAAAGCATATAAGTGTTTCCTTTCTATAACAAAAATGTTTGCGAATATCTTGTATTAATAACGTTCACGACGGTTTAATGGCTTTCCATGACCACAATTAAGTACATGAAAGCCGACTTTAATGTTTTATATATGCATGTTTTAACCAATTAAATATCATAAGAAATGTTTAGGGCTGAAATGTTTAGGTATTACAAGTCTAAGATAGCTAAATCCAAGCCAAAACCAAAGAATTAAACATTTTATATTTTGTTGTTATACAGATTTATATAACCCACATGTTGGAAGGCGGCAATAAAACCTTCCCAATAGAGAGGTTTGTTCGAATGTAACAAAGACCCGATACACATTGTATGTTACAGTCTTGTCTGAGATGAAAATGATTTTATGACTCCTCAGGGAGCTGCTTCAGTGTATACCTAGACCGTAACACAAACATCAATAGTCTAATTTCCACCCTCCATCCTCATCAATAATTATTAGCTGAGTAATGAACGACCGAAGCACTGGTTGTCTTAGGAGTTACCTACCTTTAGTAGACGAGTTAGCCTGGTATAAATTCAGTGTGTTTGAAATTTTCTACCTGTTTAAACATGAAGGGTATTTCCCTTGTTCCGGGTCAGTGACGTGCTATACACAAATCCTGGTTTATATCAAACATGTACATGTATGTGTGTACAAGATGGCGAGCAGTGTGGGTATTCATTTACTACGACCTGTACAGGTAAGAAGTGGTTATGTTGGGTATTTACTGTTAGTCTTCAGGTAGCATGGTCTCCTTTGTCTATGTAAGTGGCCTTTCCATTGTCTAACATTCAATTGTTCTGTGTATTGTAGTCTGTCCTGAACATAGATGACATTTGATGTCAGCACTGTAACCCGGTATACATTACTACGTGTAACCTAGTTTAAGCAATTTCTAAATATAAAATCGCTTTTACAGAAATTTCAGCATTTCTGGAAAATGGAATGGCAATGCTAGACGATTTTGAAGAAAACTTGAAACAATACCTTTACAAAGTATATTATAAAATATTTAGATGTAAACAACGCTTGCTAATTCATCAGAGTAAGGGGTGGACCACCCAAGCTGACAGCAGTGTGAATAGGCTGACATTCTGGTGGTTTGCCAGTTAGATCATATAACCACAGGTTGAATGGGAGTCAGTAAAGACACGGGTACAACATGTACGTAAACCACCAGGCCGGGATCGAACAACTTTTACGTTCAGGGAGGTTTATTTTGCCGTGGGCATAGGAAAAACTCGTTATCGAAATAATATTGCTAGCTATGTTTTTTTTAAACTGTTTATTATTCGCAAACTCGATTTGTTTAAAAGGAGGTTTAATTGGTACCTAACATTTATTTCATAAAAGTAATCTCAAATACTTTTTACCCGTGTCATGTACAAAATTGATTGGATAATATTTATCACAACGCTCCCGCAATGTGCTCCGATATGTAAGGAACCAGCTAATGTTAACCGATATGATGAGTTTTTTTTATCGTTGTGATTAGTATATTTCAATAACGTCTGGCAAAAAAAAGAACAAAATGGCAATAGTTATAGAAGAATAACATATATCCAGTGCATATAAAAGTTGCTATAGAAGCCAACCATGTAGTACAGTGAAACGCTAAAAAGAGATGTATTTACCACTATACGACATCATAAACTCAACAACAGAACTATATGCGTGTTATGATATTACACGTTAAATCCTTTAACATATAAAACTATAGTCACGCCCAATAATATATAAAGGTTTGTTACAATGACACTACTGATCCACAATAACAAAATAGTTCGTCAGAATTTCTTTTTATTGAAAGGTTAATATCAGATAAATTGAAAAAAAAACAATCATTAGGACATTATACTGTACATATTAATGTTCATACTGATACCTAAACAAATTGAAATAAAAAACACCTCCAACTAATATCAGTTTTCCTGACATTGATAACGTGAGAATATCCGACACAAGCACGTTCTATAACATGTTTTACTTCAAATAATCAATAACGGTTCAAAGCACGAAGACCCGGTGAATGTCATGTATCATTGTTCAGCATTGATGACTCAAATATCCTGTAATCCAACCTTAACCCACGTACATTCAAGCGATATCAGTTTTACAATCCATTGCATGCTCTTAAAGATATAATACACAATGGAATGGAAGTGAGACATTCAGATGTGATCATTTAAAATATTGATTAACAAAATATTTATCATGTACCAATATTATATATATATATATATATATATTATCCCTCATATAAGGCGATATATATATAAGGCTTCGCACCACTTGATAATCAAATTATTAAAAATATTAATAGGAAGACAACAAGAGAATATTGAAGTGAGAGCAACACTATAGTTCAAATTCAAAATCGATGAAACTAGGGCGAAACATGAACAAAGGACATATTTACATAGAAATCGAGGTCAAACCTAATGGAAGTGACGTAATCTAAACGAGAAAAGTCATAGTGACAACATAATAACAAGGCACTGATGAACAAGATCTGAAACATCGACCTTCAGATTACACAAGAAAATAGGATTGTTCCCTATGAGCTTATGATGGCGACCAGAAAACCTGTCAATACATGTACTTTTCTTCTATTGGCATCTCTCGGACCTTTACATGGATAGTGTGTTTGTCTACCTTCGATATTTACAAATGAAAGGGCGATATGTAGAGCAATTTCGTGAATACATAATTAACTGCAACGTATGTTAATATCAAGAAAGGGAAAAAGTCGTTTTTTAAAATCGAAATGTTCACGCTTATCATATACCTTAGTAGTAAGAAAATCCAAATGACCAAGTTGCAAGTTAAATTCAAGGTAACCGGCTGTAGTTAAATAGTCTTTAGTGTCCAAGTTCAAGAGAATAAAATTATGATAATATTTCTTGCTTTTGAAGACGAAAATGAAAGATTTTGTTATCAGCTCTGATTAACTTTTAACTACAATCAATTTCATGAAAAGCAGAAAACAAAAACAAAACAAGTCGATCTTTGAAGGGCAGCAGTTAATGTTGATTTCAGCGGTACAATCTGAATTTTACCAATATGAAGTCGTGTAACTATTATAATTAATATGTAAAAATATAAAGTTATTTCCAAATGGATTGACCAATCATTATGAAATTAATTATTGATACCTGTCATTAGCTATGTAAAATTAATAACAAAATGTAGTTACTATCAATATTTAATCAATAATAACCAATCAATATCAGACAAAGTTAGCTTATACCGATTAATCAATCAGTTTCTTAATAGACTTGTTAATAGATAAAATAATCAATCAGTACCGATATAAAATGAACCATTACTAAATTAGGTAATCGGTATATAAATCTATCGTCAATTAACATATTTTTGATAGTATTAAGATAATTCAAAGTTGAACAAACATTTCTTTAAAACATCAGATACATTTCTGCTAAATCAAGCATTGTAATCAATATAAGTATCAATCTATAGTTCTTTAATGAGTTGTAGGAATCAAACTCCCTAATGGCATTAATAATGCACAGGGCAGCATCGACCGTGCAATCCTGGCTCGTAGTTTAAGGTGTAGAACTCTCCTTACGGGATCAGCTGGCACGCTGATTCTGTACTGAAGTTTTGATTAACGACCTTCCTGTCCTACACTTTGTCTGTGTGCTAAAAAATAAGGCCAAAATGATCAAATGCAAACAAAATCTTCACAATGAATTCCTCAAGTTGCATCGCTTACTGATTCTGATGATGATTGTGTTTTTGTATGAGCTGTTCGGTTGTCAATGCGTGGTAAGGTATTGATATATGCTTTTTAGATTACCTCCACTCATAGCAAATACTATAATACTCGGGCCCAAACTCCTTTGTGAACCATAAGTCAATGAAACCATAAGCCAAATCGACACAATAGCATTAAGGTCTATATACAATAATGTAGTATACAGTGCAGGCATTATAAAGGATTTATATTTAGAAGTTGTTTGTGAAACGTTTAACAGGTTCCTATCTAATGAAAAGCAAATAGGAAGTAATACTATTTTTAGTGGTTTAATGAAGTCTTACATTGATAATGGACAATGCATTTAGTGCCCTTCTTACCGTTTCTTTGATCACAAAGCTTACACTTGAGTTTATATATTTAAAAGACGATGTAATGAGAAAGGGAAAGCATGTATGCATTATCCGTTCATATATTGATTACTTTTTGTAGTTGCAGGGTATATGAGACAATGTAATGACTTGAATACATAAAAAGGTGTATTGTGATCACATCATACGAAATGGAAGCGGCTGACAAGAAGAGGTACTGGAATGACCAGATAAAGGCCATGCTTGGGCCTTGTATGATCACCTTCGCGATTCCTCTTACTATCCCGGGCTTAACGATAACGTTAGTAGCGTTTAGCGAGGATACGACATTCGAAACATACGGCGTTATACATATCGTTGGAATCCTCTTCCTAGCAACAGCTGTGATACTATTAATTCTTGGATGCATGTTACGAATGCTTTGGAAACCTACCATAGGACCAGATATTGAAATGCATTTAACACCACTTCAGTCTGTTACGAGTTTACGCAATCATAGAAAGGAATCTCAGCAAATGAAAATAAACAATATTTATTCTGGTGCAAGAGTTGGACCTGAGGAGCGGGTCACCAGGAATACGTCTAGACATCAGGAAAGTCATCCGAAAAAAGGACAAACTGCATTATCTGGACAGGTAGCAGGTCATTCTTCAAAACAATTCGAAGGAACTTGTAATGGAACACATCAGAAGGAGAATACGCAAAGTAGGTCTGGTGATACCGACCATAGACGAAACTCTAGAGATACCATTCGAAAAGATAGAAGGTTATCAAGATCTTCCATTGTGCAAGATGATTCGTCAATAGAGGAAACAGAAAGTGAGTCTGAGTCGGTCATAATTAAGAAAAAACGTAACAGGAAGAGTTCAGCTGATTCCCTAGGTAGAGGAGAGAGTCGACACACAAATGATAGTAATGTTGACGAAAGATTTCCCCTAGATAGATCAAGATCACATAAGCGTTCAAAACAACCCAGTGATGAACCATGTCTAGATGAAATTCAACAGTGGCGTCAGAAGAAGAAATCCAAACAAAAGTCTAAGGTAGTAGACACTGGAATAGTCAATGCTGCCAGTGATTGTGAGGATACCACCATGTCAAGGCCTCTCCCAAAACTCCAACTGAACGAGCGGCCATTGTCTTCTTCGAATCTCGAGAACGGCAGTTCAACAGGCGAGGAAACCAACTCTGGGTAAGATGGCCTATACGTTTAACATACATGGGTGTTCGGATGGCGCAGTGGATAGCGCACTTTGATTTCACAAAGCGGTCGGGTTCGATTCCCCGATCGGACGTGTCACCTGCCCAACCACGGGGGTTTATCTCCGGGTACTCCAGTTTCTCCCCACATTAAGAACCCCCCCCCCCCCCCCCCCAACACGCTTACATCCGGGCCAACAAAAAGGATTAATATGTAATTATTATTCGTCCGTTTCATGACATCATTTTACAATTGTGTCTGTATGCATTGAAAAACCCATTCTTATCAACCATACACAACTATGTAAATAAAAGTGCTCTACTTCAATTATAAAATCTGTTAGTTTCGTAAAATATCATTCCAGCATACACGTAATTGTAGGCAATGATTTTTTTCTTTTTAATTTTCATGCCGGTATGGACGCAAATCGGTTACACCCATGTTTAATATGAAATATAACCGATTTGCATTCATACCGGCATGAAAATTAAAAAAAAATTAAAAATGGCGCCCATAATTAATCGTAGTCATTGGAGCGTTTGACGCAGGGGCATTGTCCATGTTATCTAAAGAAAAGCAACAAGACTCTCATTGAACAAGGTTAATATATGACGTTATAAGTAAACCAAGTGTTACGTCACTAGAGTTTTTGCTGTCATACTTAAATGAAATGCATTTCTGCTGGTAATGTTCATATAGTTGGTTGTAGAGCAAATTTAAATTTATTTTGATGAACACAAATAAGCAATTTACAAGATACACTCTTTAGCATTTAGTCCTACAACAGTTAAAGTACCATAGGCTTGATGTCTTTCAAATACATATTAGATCGCAGGTTAAAATCGATAACTTCTTATTCCATTGGTCGCACACTTGTCGATACAAGGAGAATCTTTATCCTTTGTTATTGAAATGTGGGCATTGTTGTGCTTCACTTGTCCGAGTATTCGCCTGCACGATCTTAGCGCAGCTTGAAGAATCTTTATTGGTTTTTAGCTTGATGCAGACCATAAAAACACCGAAGTCGATTTGAATCTTGCTCACAAGGAACAAACATAACGTATTCCATTCTAATTAGCAAAGGAAGCATCGTTGTGGTAATGGGTCATGCCTAAGACCATGTAATTACTGTTAAATTTGAAGATCGATAATAAGATGATGGGAGATTTTTTTCTGACTATAATGCAAACTTCGTTCTTTTCATTTCTGTTTGTTCTTCAAAACCATAGCAAGCGGTTGAACTACAAACATTAATTGAGACATTAGTTATTCGTTTTTATCTCAAACCGAATTAGGAGTGCCTGTTTGGACCTACAAATTACTTGAAATGTAAACGTTTTGTAAATTTGCAATAACAAAATTTGATAATTACGTATTAAAGAGCAATGCTTCGTTTCATTAACATTTATCTCCTTTCTAGAATATTTTCACATTTTTAAAAGATCCATTATAAATTTCATGAATAATGCTTTACTATTTCTGTAATGATTGGCGTGTGACATGGTCTGGGTTAGATAATAATGGTTTCTGTGATGAAGTGTTAAAGCTGTATGACTGAATCCTCAATAAATAAAAGTTTACCAAAAAAAAAAGTCATTGGATGTTGGGACCAATAACCAGCAAAACTCTTTTAGAACATCCAGCAAAAAAAACCTACAAAGATGCTAACACATTTGGGTTGCTTAAGTGGATCACAGTGAAATGTACGCCATACTCAGTTATTCCCACACACAAACTTGTTTTGATAAATGCATTTAATACAATTTAAATACACTGTATTTGAAATACAAGGGTTTACATTCAAAATAAAGAGGATGTTTTTCTAATGTAACAAACAACATTTGTTTCGTTATGTTCCAACTGGACCGACCAGTCAGAGAGGCGGGTTAACTGTGAAAAATAACAATTGTTTTTTATCAATTGTGACGTCACTGATGCCTTGACATTTTCTCATATTGACGTCGCAATAGACCATTCCTTGTCCCAATTTGTTTTGGCCGGATGATTATCTGTTCATGTCTTTATGTAGAAAAACGTTATCCCTTGAACATTCATCTCCTTATATTTCATTTTCCTTGTCATTATATAGCAGTGCATCGTATGTTATGATCAGCTGTTTTTTAATCTAAAACTAGGCAATCCACTCGGTCGCCCCATCAAAGTTTACTTCAACATGACGATTCGTTGGAAAAGAAGAAACGACGAAAAAAGAAAAGGGCATCTAAACCTGTAAGGAGACATGGCTCCACTGACCATTCTAATGATGCCAAGCCGACGCGTGTGTTACCGCCTGTGCTTAGAGGGCGCCATCAATCTCAGAGTGACGGAGAACATCACTTAAATGACGTACAGCGGTCAGGTTCTACCGATTCCATTAACAGCATAGGATCAGCTGATTCTGTTCTTGCTCAGTACACCTCTAGGAGCCAGGATGAGTAGAAATAGTTATTAATCTGCTCATTTTACATATTTGCAATGCTAATGTTTTAAATTTTGCATTACATATTTGTGCCGCAATTTTCATCTTCAATAAATGATTGCAAAACCACGGAGCATACGGATACGGAAATGGCTCTGTGTTTTAGCATAATTATAGTGAAAGTTTATTCATCTAAAACAATTTCTTGAGATAGCGATATGATTTTACTCAAGTTTTTCTGTATGGTGTTCTTAGATAACGTTAATACATCGAACATCTTTGGCTGTCATCCTCCTAGTAAATGCAATGTCTATAGATTTGTGTATAGTAAGGGTTGTCTCCTCTTGACTGTTATTCGAATAAAAGGCAATCACAAACTGTACTCCATATGTTTAATAACAGGTAAAATATTTTTTACAAAAAATGTATAGGTGAATCATTTTGTTATTTCAGATATTCTTACATAATTATAATACTCACTTAATGAATACTAAAAAGTGAAAAAAAGTGAACAAAAGCAAGGCGCTTTTGTGAACTCATCCACGTTTAAATAGGGGTATTTTGTGGCGGAATATTTTCAATTATTTTCAATACCAAACTCTGTTTATGTTTAAACAAATGCAAAAACACAAATGAAGTTAACATAGGATACTTATCAGAAAGTAGTGAATTTCACCTAATCTTACAAGTAAAGGTATTTCGGTAGATCTTTTTTTACACTTCCAATGTATCATGATTTATACACAAAAATGGCATATTTTTGTTTGTTTTGTACTGTTACTCAGATATTTTTTTATGAATAAATCCGTCCACTTTATATAAATGCATATATAGCAAATACAATATTTTTTCTTAGCAAACTGATTTGATTTAAGTTGTTTAACGTTAATAGAGAACTAAATATCACCGTTTCACCTTATTGCTTTTACGTGTCAATTCTTTTTGTTTTCTATGATATATTGCAGCAGATATTGTTGTTTTTTTTTTATATATATTTCCGATTGTTTTCGCTGGTAATTAACCACATTGTCTCGTTTTAAATGCCTCATTAGTATTTATAGAGTTGTCAAAATGTACCGTTTAGAAGAAGAAGAACAGTTGTACTGGTTTCTGATTGATCAGTTTATAATTCTAAACAAAAATAACGTAATTTTAAAAACAATTACCTTATTTTTCAGTACATTTGTTTGTGATCTACTGTCTCCACAAAGTTAATTTTAAGTGACTTTTTCCAAGTATGTGGTAAATGGAGGAAGTATCTCTTGAAGGGTTATTCATTGGCGTAAAAATTATCTGATGGTTGAATTTTAATATATATAGGCAAAAGGATTTTTTTCCTCTTATAAATGTCATTTGTTAATTAAAAAGAAAACGTTAATACATTTTGAAAAAGTATGGATTGCTGCAGAATCAATAATGATTATGATTTCATTCGTGATTTGTGATTTGTGATTTTTACGGCAAGCAATCGTATGTATTGTGACGTCACAATACCGACAACTAATTGAGACATGGATTGGGATTCGAAGATAGAATTTCTTGTCTTTCTATTTTTCGATCTCTGCTTTCCTTTTCATGTTTGTGTGTCACATATGTGTCACTGTAGTTGTCGCCTTTGTTCTTCTGTCTCTCTAGCCATCCTCCCCTACATCCTTGGCGGGTAACCTTAAATTCTATATTTTATTTCCTGTTAAACGATGATGCAATCATCTCTTGACTGTGATACATGTATAATGGTTTTTAAATGTTGTACATTTCCATTTTATAATCAAGGTATTATTGTGTTGAATTAAATCAGTATTTTAATGCATGTAACGTGTTAGGAAGAACGCTTAGAATATTAATTTCTCGCAGATCATTCATGTTGAAGAATACTTTTCGTCCAAGAATCTGCCATAATCTACAGGTAAATGAGTATAATAGATTTTCTTTTGTACAGTGAATCTGCCATTATTTAGCATATGCAAATATATGATTAACTTACTTCTACGTTTCAGCTAGCTTGTTTTACATATCTGATGTTCTATTATTTATGTTTGTTTCGAAATACATTTATTTATGTTATGTTTTATATACTCTACTACTGAATATTAACATGGCACAATTACATGAGTTGTCATTGTTTCATTATTGAATTGCTGTCGTTCTTGGAAATTTGACTTGTTATGTACAATATGGGACTTCACTTATGAGAATATCTGCAAATGTAAATACATGCATTACAATACTTTGAATGTTTATTTGTTTTGAAATATCTACGAACGCATGATAAATATCATAAAGATCTGAAACATCGGTTAATGTCCATGAAATGAAATGGGTACCGGAAAACCCTTACAACAATAACATCAACTTGAAAAATATTATCAATGATAACATGATCTAGTGAGAGAGTTTGACAACAAAATAATAAGTGTATCAGAGTTGCCTCCCTTCTGCTACTTATACAACGATGTTTAGAAAAGAAATGGGGCAATTTGTGGTTCTCGTAATGTGTTAGTGTAGAAACCAAACTATTGAATTGTGCATTTGTCTTTAAACATGTGTGTTAGTATGCAAGAAATATTTGGTATGTAAAAAGGTGTTGAAGGAAAGACTTCCACATCATTGACCTATTGGTTCTAGCACTGAAGCGATGACTAGGAATAAATGCTGAAATGGGATGCCAATCATCTCACAGACTCTAGACTTAAATACTGTCCTTGGCAGATAAATAAATTGTATTTAAGGAAACTCTAAAGGTAAAAATTCAAGTTTAACACTAAAAGAAACTTATCCCCAAAGACATTATATTTTGAAAAAAGTTCCCGATATGTTTAAAAAAAAGTTCACATCTAAAACCAATATTGCTACATTATATAACGAACAGGATCCTACAATCATCGTTAGACGGTGACCTGAATGTCGATTTACCTGATAACATTGCAGCATGTACTGAGATATCCGTTTGCTATCTGGCCAATCAGCCTGTGATGTATATTAAAGAGAACTCGATCACATCACTGATACAGGTAAATCATAAATGCTTTATTTACATAACTTTGTTTTCATAGAATGATTGTTTGTCGTTTTAAATATCCCGTTTTATGGAAATATATAATGGGTTCGCATACATCTTCTTGATACATATTTAATGTATGAAATGCAAAATAAACCAGACATTTACCCTAAATATACGTTAAGACATTATATTAACATAAAGTTGCGTCAGTAAACATAAATATTGGTGGCAATGCATTCTACATTTAAATCCTACAGGGAGTTGTACGTGTATTTTGACTAATAATGTTATATTTTTTATTCTTCATTATTAGACCAAAATTTACTTTTTTTGTATTCTTGCAACATATTTGTCTTCATTATCTCTCAGTGTGAGAGCGCTATTTAATTAGAAAAAACATTTACCAATTACCTTCACATAATTATGTGATGGCTTTTGAGACAGCGCTATTGTACTTGTTAATGAGAGGTGTGGTAGCCATAATGTTAGGATGAATGCCAAATAATTGGTAAATAGGTGCACATTTTTATTCATTTATATTTTTGTTGCATGTCGCATCATTGCAAGTTTGATCACCCACACGGAACAAACCTTTGACAGCCGAGCCGGAACATGACAATGACGTATTGAAAATTCAATAAATAATTAAACAACAACATTACCGGAATACAGTATGGACCTATTCTCTTTTCATTAATGGCACAGAAAGGCTACATCGCATAATAGTTTCTAACTACTATTGGAATAAAAACAACTTTCAAATTCAACATGATCACTATAAACAGGGACGTATAATGGATATACTGTCCCTACTATAAAGCAAATAACACAAAAAAACTCAGCTTTTAGCAAAACATGCTGAGAGAGAAAAACGTTCTGCACAAATTGGATTCAAAACATATATAGCAGAACATGAACACACGAAGACAAACGATAAATTTACAGGAAGAAAATAATTAACTAAAGACAAAAGAATACAAAAGAATACACAAGAAACCCCAGTAGCACCGCATGCAAAATTAGGTGTTCCGGAAGTTAATGTGATTACTGACCCATATGTTACACGCATTATAACATTTCCTGTCAAATCTACATGACAATGTCAATAATCTAAAACACAGAAAGTATGTAGTCAATATTGACAGATTTGGAAATTCCGCACAATTGAGTTCGAGGCATCAGTCCTATTAGTAGAAAAGCACGGATCCATATATAGTTGGTGATATTTAGACCATGCAATGCAATGTTCCGTATCACATATATGTGTCAAAGCGTAAATATTACATTGGCCAAGTAGACGGAACCATTCAGAAATTTATCAGTTGCCACTCACTAATTAGGCTGACGAGTGGGGACAAGAGATGATTCAAAATATTTAACACCAGTTTATTATGTCATGATTCCGTCTTCCCCAGCAGTATATTCCGCCATTTGGATTCAAATGTTCAAAAAGTTAATTTAGACATTTTTATGGTTTATTGAATTTCCATCCCCGACCCCACCAATACTGTAAATGTAATATGTGTATAAAAACAAATCAAAGTATTATCATGTCTTTATAAGCAATATATGAAATATGTTTGTTTTTTTATGTCAATTGAATTTTTGTTTTCAAAAACAATTGTTAATTGATTTATCACAGTACCGAAAACGTTACTTAGCCTTATCTAAATCATAGTCATTTCTATTATCCGATGACGTCACAATGTTCTAAATTTATTATTTTAGTCTTTATTTTGGCAGGCATCCAAACAGATGTTTTTTATCCATGGTAAAACGCAAAATTATAGCCTGGATTTATGGTCATGTGACATGCAAACCTTATAACTTTCAAACAATTAGAGGATGCTCCTAAAGCCATCCCATGTTTTCAGCTTTAAATTGAAGTGTAGTTAATTTGACCAATTTATTTAATGTTGATGGGTTTAATGTATTTAAACTAACTCTTAATTTCTAACCTAATAAATTCTAATAAATAATGATTTTCTCAAAATTACAAATACCTTTAACATGTTTGTAAATCTTATGGAAATAAACATATTTTGATGATAACAATGTTCATACCGCTATTCAACCCAATTAGAACTCTTAAATTAGGTCATGTTCAATTTTGTACATTGTAATCTTTGACATTTCTCAATTTCTACAGTATGTGTTTGTTATCACATTGCAATATGTTCTATAATTATAAATATTATCGGCTCATGTCAATCGATTTAAAAATGGAAATATGCTGGTTTTTCATTTATTTACCTGATATCAAATATATAGGTTGATAACACCAACGGTTTGTATTGTAAAAGATGTCTAGTTTGCCAAAAGTTGGGGTATTCGGTACACTTCGTGACACGAGACATTCCTATATTTTATTTGTCACTAATTGGATCATTTCAATGTTAAGGGTTTGCCAGTTCCCTAACATTGACAATAGGCAAAGCTGACAGATTGACATGGAATACGGATGGCACACGTGTGTTTTCAGATTGCCCAATTAACATTGAATACTCAGTAACAATCTTCACGACTGAACCATGACAGTATATGTAACGGATGTGTGGCTAATCCCCACGACATAATTCTGTATTACTGAAAGAAGTGATCTACTTATTAGATAATGACAACTATGCATAAGATCTTTTTGTATGCACCCTAAAGTTGATCGGGAATTAAAGGAACTGAATTTCAAAGACACAATTTAAATGATTACATGATTTCTTTATGAAAACCCTGTACAATGAAGACAAGCACACTATCTCCGATCAAGAAAAATCAATTCTGAAACATTTAGAGTCTGGAACATTTCTACTTTATTCCTACCATTAAAATAATAAAACAAAAACAAAAGAAATTGCAATAACAGCTAGCGCAATCTACTATATCCTGGATAATATTCGAAAAGTTGTCTGCTTTACAAAGGTGTAAGTCAAATGCTTATGGTAAACACCAAATGAAAGCCAATACACACACTCAAGCAGCACATTTGTCCAAATGAAAATAAATTATTAAATCTACCCTGATATTGAAAACAATAGGTTTTGTAAAAATTGAAATATTTAGCTGATAGAAGAGAAACCATTTACTTTATGATAATTCACATGAAAACACGTACGTAATAGTTAAACCGACATTCCAACTTTCTCGGTATTGATTTTTTCTGACAAAGAGCTTAAATGACCCTGACTGACATAAATCATAATACAAGATGGCTGCACTTATACAAAATCGCAGCGTTCATACCCTCTAAATCAAAATGGTCATTTTCACTCTTCTCAGACGATTGCTACAGTACTTGGAACTACACTGTAATGATTTAACAAAAATATTGAAATGTTCATAAGTGATTGATAAAAACATGTAACCTTTGAAATACTTTAAGAACACAAGGATGGACAAACAAATGTAAAATTTACTAATAACTAATCGGTATAATAAAAGATGAACAACACGCATGCAGACAACATATATTCACATAATGATTATTTTGAGCAGGTTTGCAGCACGATGCTACTTACATCAAAACATAAAATAAATTAATTAATAAATAAAAATTGAAAAACCCAACATTTCAACAATACAGAATTGTTCTCATCGTGGAAATAGCAAACTCACTCAGTCGTTAACATCCTTCAGTAACTGGGAGTGTTTTCAATAATCAATGTAAGCTAATTACAGTTGTCGTCAGTACGCTGTAACTAGTTATTTAGATCAACCCAATACACTGTGTTTACAAGGTTTACTGTGAGACCGATCTGTTTCCATTGCGTACACGTGAATACAATCGAAAGACCTCAGCGATCACTAAGAGTCGAAAGAAAAGGTCTTGCTTTTACCCGATTTTATTTTAGTTTAAAGCATTTCTTCGTGACAGGCTTTTCCTTATGCGAACCGCTTATAAGTGAATACTAGTGATCTGCTACAGCAATATAGAATTAACGGACACAAGAAGATGTTTTTCGGATTAAAGCAAAACATTCCAAATCGTAAGTTTCAATCCCAAACCGTTCTTAACTTCTTTTCAAGAATCCTCACAGTTACCAACGGAAATAATGGACTTATCATACTACTGGTATATGTAGTTGTTAATAAGATGTTAATAACCCTTTGTCACTATTGCTTGGTAACACATATCTTAAGCAAATACATGTTTAAATTATGGATTATTGTCCCACTGCACTTTTTGCTTTTCGTATTTACAGTAACCTCCACTTCATTTTGATCTTG